GCATTATATATGCTATAAATGTTGGGTTCTGGGAACCTTATGTTTGAACACTAGCACCCCCCCCCCTCTCCTTCATGCTTCATTAATGCTTTGGAAACTCCCCTGAGTTTTAAAGATGGTTTGTCATGTGAAGCAGCTGTAAAATAGGGAAAAAGTCAGCTGGGTGAATGGAATTAGATGTGTTTTTTCTGGCTTATAGTCACTGTATTTCTCTTTGTGCATATTGTGCTTTTTAAAGAAAACAAATGTTTCAGGAGATACTTTCAGGAGAGGGTAGCTGTGTTGATCTGCAGTTGAACAGCTAAGACTTGAGTCCAGTAGCACCTTCGAGACCAAGACGATTTTGGGGGGTATAAGCTTGTGAGAGTCAAAACTCCTTTCTTTAGAAAGCGTGTACCCTGAAAATCTTGTTGGTGTCTAAGGTGGTGTGCCCTGATTTGTATAGCCCAGGCTGGCCTGATTTTGTGAGATATTAGAAGCTAAGCAGGGTTGGCCCTGATCAGTATTTGGAAGGGAAGACTACCAAGGAAAACCAGGTTCATGGTCCAGAACCAGGCAATGGCAAATCACCTCTGAATGTCTCTTGCCTTGAAAACTTCATAGGGTTACTGTAAGTCAGCTGCAACTTGTCTGCAAACCAACAAGCTGCTAGTGAACAAATCTATCTTTGTATTGAATCTGTAGTACTCTTCCAGTCATACTTTCCTTGTTATTCTTGGCTGGTGGTATAAAATACCTATAAAAGACGGCAATATAAGTGAAGTGTCCAGAGTTACAAATCATAACTTTTAAATGTAAGAGTTAATAATTAAATAGCTGGAGTACATGAGTGGAGTATGAGAATTGCAGTGCCAGACATCTGTTATTGTACCTGTTCTAGTAGGACAATATTTGGTCAATTTTCACAGTATTTAGACAAGAAAAAGATAAAATCAAACCTGTGTATTCTAGTTGTTTCAAGCATCAGTTAACAACTGAAGCAATTAGAAGAATTCATGCTGATTTTCTTATGAGATTTATGCCCATGTGGAGAAATCCACATGATTTTTTCCCCCATTGGATTAGAAAAACTCAGTACTCACTGGCATTTAAAAGCAAAATATGTTTAGCAGAATGATAAAGTTTTTGCCTCTTTCCTTTTAGGGACTCCATGTCTTTTACAGAGGTTTTTGCCTGTAGGGCACTATGAGCTTGAGCCTCATAGTGCCTGACACTCTCCATTCCTGAACAAAGCTGATTGTTTGGATTCATTTCAACTTCTTAGGCTTGGTTCTGGCACTGAAAAGGCCGCAGTCATCCTGGTCGATGACCCACACTAGGAGATGGACAGGGAAAGTACAACTCTGTTAATCGCCCTGGGCCTCTTGGCAGCTTTTGATACCATCAGTCATGGTATCCTTCTGGACCATCTTTTGGGGAGGCACTGTTTTGTGGTGGTTTCAGTCCTACCTTGAAGGTAGGTTTCAGAGTGTGGTGTGTGGGGAATGCCTCTTTGCCACTTTGCCTCTGGCCTACAGGATCTTGCAAGGTTTGACCTTTTCTCCCATGCTTTTTAACATCTAATGAATCCAAACATCTAAGCGGCTGGGAGAAGCCATCTGGAGATTTGGTCTGAATTACCACCGATATATAGATGACACTCGGCTCTATGTTGTGCTTTCAGCAGATCCCAGGGAATCTGTGGAAATTGTGAACAGGTTTCTGGAAGCAGTTTTGGGATGGATGAGAACTAACAAACTGAAAATAATCCCAATACTGGTGAGTGGAAGTGTTGAACCAGGAAGTAATCTCCAGTTCTGGATGTGGTTGTGCTCCCCTCCAAAGGAGAAGGTTCATTTGGGAGCCCTGCTGGACCCCAGGCTTCCTGTTGGATAAACAGGCGGCAGTGGTGGCCAGGTGTGCCTTTAACCAACTTTGGCTGACTAGCTAGCTAGCTGTGGCCCTTCCTGGGCGGAAAATATCTTGCCACTGTGGTGTAGGCCCTGGCAACATCTAGATTAGATTATTGCAATGAGCTCTATGTGGAACTGCTCTTGCGGACTATCTGGAAGTGATAGTTGGTGCAGAATACTGCAGTCAGAATGTTGACTGGAGTGGGTTGCAGGGTCATATCACTCCAGTCTTGTTCCATCTACAGTGGCTCCCAATTTCCTTCCAGGCCCAATTCAAGGTGCTGGTAGTAACCTTTGAAAGCCCTGTTAGGCTTGGATTCAACATACCTTAAGGACCACCTACTTCCTTATGAACGTATCCCATCCACTACAGTCATCTTCAGAGGGCTTGTTTCAGGGGCCTCCCCACCTGAGGCTAGACAGGTGGCGACTTAAGAAAGGGCCTTCTCAGTCATGGTGGCAAAACTTTGGAACTCCCTCCCCAGAGACATTCTTCTGTCTTCCTCTGCTTTTGTCTTCTGCCAGCAAATGAAGACATTTCTGTTTTGTTTGGCATACTCCTACTGTTATCAGTCCTCCTCCCTGGTGGTGGTGGTGATGTGTGTTTATATGTTTTATTGAATTGTTTAAATGTTTCATATACACTTATACTTTAATGCTATTTTATGGTTGAAATGTCATGTTTTATCCTATTTGGGTAGAAAGGCAGCATAAAAATGTTATAAATAAATTGAAAGAATGGGAAGGAATCTGTTATTTTAGTTCCAGTGTGTTAGTTAAAGCATTTTAGGTTAAAAAAAAGATGGGGAAGGGACCCTCTGTCCGAGTCCTTGGGTAATGGCCAGTCTGAGTTGACACTACTAGGTGGCCAACAGTAGTATCCTAAACAGAATTACATCTTTCTTGACCCATAAAAAATCAATGGGTTTAGAAGGGTGTCACTGTTTAGGATTGCATTGCAAAGGTCTCATTCACTATTACACATACTCAGAGGTCATTTCGGGGGGGATCACGGGGGAACGCAGTTCCCCCGGGTGAGGTGCAGGGGGCGGGGCACACGATGAAGCCCCGCCCCCTGCTTCTGGCCGCCCCACTTCCAGCCCTCATTCAGCCAGGAGGAGGCAGGAGAAGAAGGAGGGTAAGTTGCTTCCTCCCCACCTCTCCCCACCCCTGCCTGCCTGGGGCCAGGGAGGGCCTTGGCGGGGCTTCCTCGCACTTCCGCTGGCCTTGCAGGTCCACCGCCGGGCCCCTGATGTCAGGGGGTGTGGCATATGCTAATGAGTTATGCTAATGAGTTCCCCTAGCTCTTTTTCTACGAAATGACCCCTGCACATACTGAAAAAGACATCCAAAAAGGGCAGATTTTCTTAGGAACCTGCGTATGCTTAATGCCACCATTAAGGCACAAAGCAACTGTTAGGGAAAACTGCAGGAAGGTATGTAAAAAGGCAGAATTTCTCTAAAACAGAGATTAGAACTCAGATTAGATTAGAACTATATTGATCCTGGAAACTCTGTATTTTGGGGCAAAGTTCTACAGTATTACTCCCAAAAGTACAGACAGCAGATAACTGAACATCCTGAAGGCTAGTTGTGAAATAACCAGGAAAACGTGGCAAATAATCGCAGATGAATGGTGTGGCATACCAGAACATCATGTTGGGGTTAGCTGGTGGCACCACTGTCTTAGACCACACAACCCCTGGGCATCACTGGGGCATGATGAATGCTAGCTGCCATGAATAAACCAATTATCCTCCATGTCTTGTGGGATAAGCTTGACCATTATGAAGAGTCCATCATGATTAAAAAACAGACAAACCTGAAATAAGGATCATTACGCAGTAAGTAGGCATCTCTTCCAACACCCTTTAGCCAAACTAGCTCCAAACATTTGGCAGATGTCTTTCCTTTGATTCAGGCTGTGAGAGCAAGAGTAGGACTGAGATCCTGAGCAAGTCTGAATCTCTATATCAGTTCTCTGGCTTGTGCAGCAGCCCAGGCAGAGGATAAAACATCCTTGTTTTTACCCAGAGAAACATGGTAAGAATCTTGTTATAACAGATGGTTCCCACAAAAATCTCTGTATGTGTCAGCTCTCTGACTTTGCCATGAGCACAGTCAGCAGTGCTTCTATTTCAAGTATTTTAAGAATTATTTTCAGTTCAATCAGTTACGTTATTGCTAAAGTATTAAGTGCAGATTATGGGTCACCCATATGAACTGAATATTTGGTTTTTATAAATGATATCCAGATAACAAATACAGAGAAATTATTCTGCATCTAAAAACAGTTTTGGCCATATAATACAATTCTATCAGGACAGACAAAAGAGGTCATTTTTTCATACAGTTCATCTTAATGTATGAAACTCATTGCTGCAGAATGTTGTGATAGCTCTTAGCACTGGTTACTTTAAAAGAGAAGGGGTAGATAAATTCATAGGAAATAAGTACACAAATGACTATTATTCATAACAGCTATAAACAGAACTTCCATATTCAGAAGCAGTATGTCTGAATGCTGGGTCCTTGCCACTTTTGCCTTGTTGGAAATGCCCCAGGATATCTAGCTGACACTGTTCGACACAGTCTGGATTGACTTCTCACTTCATCATAAAACAATACTTACACTGTTATGTAATATGAACAATCTAATGCAACATAGTCCTCCTTTTTCCGCACTTCCAGTTCAGTGCCATAATGCCAAACCAGCAATGTGTAAAGTTTCTGCCTGGAATAGGGTTGCCAGTAGAGCTGCAGAATTATGTCCTATATCTTTAATAGAGGATTGATATGTGGCAGGTGAAGCTTTCTAAGGCTTGGAGGTAAATGACGTCACCTGGTAAATATCATCCCATTAAGCCTCTGTTAAAGAGACAGGACATTTTTCTCCAGGCAGTTGACAACCCACGGAGAGAGTCAATAAGAATGTGAATGTTATGCTTTCCCTCTACTGCAGATACTTCTTCCATGCTGCCATTTGACATGGCAGCCATTACTTCCTACTACAATTACCAGTATTGGCTTTCTGAGTGGAAAGGCTGAACTTTGCAAGATATGGTTTCTTCTGCACATAAGGTTTAACATGGATGCTGCTTCAGTTTTCTTAAAGAAAGCAAATCTAAACCCTACATTGGCCATAAGGACAATTCCCTTTCAGATTGTTCTCCTAGATTTTCCAGTCTACATACATAAATAACAATCAGACAGTCGGATAAACAGTGCCAAAAGAGACACAGGGTTAGTTTAAGCTTTGTGTACAAGGACACCCACAGCCCACCCCATACCCAGCAAAGCAAGAAGAACTGAAGGATAAGTCCCATTCTTATCTTACCAAATGGAAAGTTTCCTTTACCACACACGTAAATTATCCCATAGTCCCTAACTAAATCAAAAAAGGACTGTTCTGCGTGGTTCTGTGGGTGACTGTGTAACTGATATGCATGCAGTGGAGTTACAGCAGGCAGTCCACAAGAGGTTTGGAAAAGTCCACTTTAATCAGAAAACATAATGAATATGCATTAGAGTTCTTTCCACTTGAAAAATGCTGTTACTGTTAGAGCTGGACAGTGGAGCGAAATGTGACACCTCAGCAGCTGTTTCTTTCTGTAACTGAACAGAGAAGACTTTTCTCTGTCATTCTTCTTGGAGAATCACCAGCTTGAGAAGCTTAGCATTGTCTGTACCAGGCTGTCTTCCACCCAAGTTGACCAACTTTGCTGCAGTAAAGAGCCTAAGAACTGCCAAAAAGAAAAGAATAATACTGGCATCCTTGGGGTTTTCATATTAAGATGAGCGTGAGATCATTCAGAAGCAAGCACTTTGCTGGGAATCCCACCTTTATCTCAATGTTCTCATTCAGTGTACAGCCAGTTCTTGTGTTACTATCACACACTGGTGCTTGCCGCAGTTTCCATGTCTCCTGCAGGCTGTGGAGTCCCAGTGTTTTGTTTGTCTGATTCCTGTTGTGCATTTTCACTCTCACAAAAGTTATCCCCCCTTTCCCCTTTATTTCCCTGATCAGAACCATGATCATCCTCCCTATCCAGTAAAGTGCTCTTGCTTGACTTTCCTTCTGTATTCTCTGCAGTGCTGCTACCTGGATTTCTCTCCTTGTCTTCCTCTGCAAGGTTCTGGTGAGGCTTCTCTTTTTCGCTGTCCTTAACTAATGTCCCTTTTTCTGTTCCCATCTCTCTCTCTTCGTTTGCAGTTCTTCCAGATCTCTGACATGATAGGGGTTTTTCATCAGATGTGCTCCTGTTTTGTTTCACATTGTGGTCTATTCCATCTACAGTAGGAGAGAGTGATTTCACAGTCTTACTCTTGTCCATGAATATACCATCAACATCCTCCTCTTCCTTGGCACCATTTTCCTGAGGTGAAACAGTCACCCCAAAATCTTGGTCATCACACTCTGATTGTGACTTTCGAAATCTTCTGGAGGGAGGCCTGCGTTTTATGGATCCCCGTGTTCGTACCTAGAAATGAAGATTGAAAATCACAAACTAGATTGATGCTGCAATGTCAGCAAAGATATCTAATGGGTGCTTCTATGCTCATCTTCTCAGCCATGTTCTAGTTCAGCTCTACATCATGCTCTAGTTCTATCCATCTTCATTTGCCACCACATTTCTTTCACAAGACAGATAAAATTGCCCCTTATCAGAAAAAGAAGCAATAAGATTATTTTATGTGATTGATGTTATGTGAAAATTCTGGCAAATGAAACAATGTTGCTTAGATAAACAACCGGGTGACCCTTGAAAACAGACCTTGGACTGAAGAATACTGACTCATTCTGTTGAGTCCGGAATCACTGTGGAAACTCAAATGTTCTATTTTTGATTCTAGATTAATGGAAGGAAATAATATGAGTTAAATGTTTGGGTGCGAATGTTGAACTATGAATCTCTCTCTCTCTCTTTCTCTCTCTCTTTCTCTCATTATACCTTACACCTTAGTCCTTTCTTTCCCACATAATTTGGTATCAGGGATCTCAGCTGGCTTGTCAAGACTGGACTTCATGGCTGGAATCCAGATTTTAGCAAAATCAAAATCCAGTGTCCACCAAGAGGCACACAAGTTCATATTCCAAACTGCAGGCAGGGCTCGAGTCCAAAGTGCAATTTGAAGGTAGGAAGAAGAGGCAAAGGAGATACCAGGTAAAATACAGGAGGATGCTTGATGTGATTGGAACACAGAAGAATGAGAAATGGCCACAGTATTGTTGAATAAATACTGAATTAGTTCTTGTTCCTCCATGGAGAAGGACTTTAATTGCTGTTTTACTTTTTGCAGCCCAAGCACTTGCTTGTTGATTCTTTTCCATTTTTCATGTTATAATTTCCTAATTATACAAGTATAGTTAATTTGGGGGGGGATTCTAGCACAAATGGCTGCAAAGAGAAATATAGTAGCTAAATCTCAACATAGGAACAAGGACTAATTAAGAAGAAGAGAAGACGAAGAGATTGGATTTATACCCCGCCCTTCACTCAGAGTCTCAGAGCAGCTTACAAACGCCTTTCCCTTCCCCTCCCCACAACAGAGACCCTGTGAGGTAGGTGGGGCTGAGAGAGCTCTGAGAAAACTGCTCTTTCAAGAACAGCTCTGACAGAACTATGGCTTGCCCAAGGTCATCCAGCAGCTGCAAGTGGAGGAGTGGGAAATCAAACCCAGTTATCCCAGATTAGAATCTGCACACTTAACCACTACACGAAACTGGCTCTTAAGGGTTGATTCAGAAAAGGCAAAGCAACCAGTACACAGGAAATAACTAATAAAGCTGAGAAACAGAAGTAGCTGAAAACAATAAGTGAAGGAACAAAATTTTAAGGGACAGCAGGCCTTAATAGCACTTACATAACATATATACATAGTATATACCAGACAATTGATGCTGTAATTATAATTAAGTTTTAAAAAACTACCCCAGATAATGTCTTTATAAAGGCCGAAAAACAAACAAAACCAGTAGAATAAGACAGGTTGGCAACAACAAAATCTGGATTCTCCCTAAAAACTAAGTGAACAATTTATAACCATTAAAAATTAAAAAGTTAGTGTGGAACCAACTCATGTGGCTCATCCTAACAGTTATCTGGTTTTAGGCTTGGCATCAGTGTTCCCTCTAAGCTGAGTTAGTGTGAGCTAGCTCAGTTTTTTAGCCTCTGGCTCGCACATTTTTGTCTTAGCTCAGGAAGGATGGCTCCAGAGCAAACTAATTTATGCAGTAGCCAAATTGCTTGCTCACAACTTTACTGCCAGTAGCTCACAAAGGAGAATTTTTGCTCATAGGCCTCCGCAGCTTAGAGGGAGCATTGCTTGGCATCAGTAAAATTATCATGTGCCATACCTTATTATGAGTCCAGAGGCACCTTTGAGACCAACAAAGTTTAATTCTGGGTATACGATTGCTTACTTATAAGCTTGCTTATACCCAGAATTAAACTTTGTTGGTCTCAAGGTGCCCCTGGACTTAAACTTTGGTCTGTTGCTTCAGACCAACATGGCTACCCACCTGAACATACCTTATTATAAAACTGAAGATGAGTGCCGTCTGGTGGCTGATCAAAGCTAACTGGTGTCTCCTTTGATTCAGTTGCATGAGACTGAATTTGTGGACTGCTGGGAGTAGTGGGTGGGCTGTTAAATGGAGAAACCATTGCTTTTAGGCCAGGACTTTTGGGAGAAGCTCCTGGCAGTAACAAAGCTGGAGCAAATGCCAGATTGGCCTGCAAAGAGGAAAAAAGTCATTATTTTCCGTTTTCTTCCAAAGAGTTGAAATCTTAGCTTAATATTATCACCCCACCTATTTCCAAAGTCTCATTTGTTTGTTGTGAGTGAGAATTGTCCCCAAGTGTTTAGTCAGACGATGAACCAACAGAACTTTATCTTAACTTAGCACATGCCTCACTCTGACTGGTGCATTACTGTTTCTTGGTGCCCTGTGGCAAAATGCACCTTCAAAATTTATTTATTTTATTTTTTATTTATTTATCTTTAAATTTATATCCCGCCCTCCCCGAAGGCTCAGAGCAGCTCACAAGGGGCACGAAGGCCCAAGTTAAAACATTAAAACAGTACAGAATAATATAAAATACAATAACTACAGTTCACTAAAATTTACTTATGGTGCTCCAAAATTAGTTAACTATAAAATTCAAGATGGGGTTCTAAAAATACTAACAACAAGCAACAATAATAACAATAAATATAGCAGCAACAATATACGTCCATACAGCGTTGTCCTCTGCCAGGCACATCTCGTTATGAAGTTAAAGGTCAGAGCTCACACATCCCTCCTCAGCTCACTAGGTACCCTTGGGCCTCTCATAGACACTTAGCATAACCTACTTCACAGGATTGTTATGGAGAATAAAAAATACTTTAATCCCCCTGGGGAAAGTGTGGGATTAAAACAACACAGATAGATAGGGTTTCCATGTTGGCTGCCATTTGGAAATCACTTTTGTTAACCACAACCACAAGAGGGAGCCCCTTCACTGAAAATAACCAGCATTTGCTTTATCAACTAATGTTTCTCTTGGTAATACACCAAAACAGAATGGGGAAAAGCCCAAAGTTGGGTACACAAAGGTTGGGTGAGAGAAAATTATGGGAAATAAATTAAACAAAACATATATATTTACTCTACTTTGAAAACAGGCATATTCCGCCCTTGAAGTAGCGAATATTTGAACTAAGAAGTCCTGAATCTATATGATATGATACAATTCAATATCTCTAGGTTAAGAGCCTTAAATCAATAAAACAGGACCAACAATTCAATATCTCTCTAAGAATATAATTATTCAATAATTTATATATGAACAATAAACTATTATATTTTGTATTCATTTTCAGGCCTTATAATTAACCTGCCTTGGCATTAACACATGTTTATATTTCATAGTGTGCATGTATACAATAATTTGACCACTGAGGAAGGTCTTGGAGGCTGAAATGCATTTGGTCATGTTTTAATGTGGTTCAAGGTTATCAACCTTGAGATATTGAATTGCTGGTCCTTTTTTTAGTGGTTCAAGACTCTTAACCTAGAGATAATTTTTTCTCCTGGTAACACCTCAATAAATAATATGGGGCACAGAAGATTTGACTAGTGCCCTTTCTGAATAGCTGGGAACCCAAAGACTATTCTTGTGTCCATTTAAGCTTTATAGGTTTTCCAGCCAACAGAAAAAATCTCCAGCAGCTTGGAATGGAAGAGGTAGTGAACAAAGCCATAATTTCAGCTTTCAATCTCTTCATCCATCCTTGTCCTGAGAGCACTCAGTGTTTAACCATCTTCTGAAATCTTTCTCATGGTCATTCCAAACAATCACCGAAATATGCTACAGGAGAAGGCAATCTGGCTGTGATGTTGCTCACATGGCCAGATTCCCAGATATGGCAGCTGCTAAGGTGACTGGAGTAGAAGAAAGCCCCGAGTGACATTAATAGATACTGATGTGAGGAAGCTCAGCCTGTGAGGCTGCTTCTGTGGGGGAATGCTAGGAGAAAGTTCACAGGGCCACCAGCATGAGCTGGGCCAGAAAAAAAGCCTCTGCATAAGAACAGAAGAGCCCTGTTGGGTCATACCAGTGGTCCATCTAGTTCAGCATTCTGTTTCACACAATGGCCAGAGAAGTGTCCAGGAGGACCAACAAAGGGCCAGTGCATTCCCTTCACACTGCCTCCTAGCACCGGTATTCAATGCACATGGAGGTTCCCTTTAGCAGTCATTGATGGACCTATCCTTCATGAATCTGTCTAACTCCCTCTTAAAGCCATCTTTTCTTGTGGCCATCACGATGTCCACCAACAGTGAACTCTACAGTTGAATTATCTGTTGTGTACAGAAGTTCTTCTGAATCTATTGCCCATCAACTTCACTGAGTGTCTCTGAGTTCTAGTATAATGAGAGAGGGGGAAATAGCTCTCTCTGTCCTCTTTCTTCATCCCAAGCATAATTATATAAACTTCTATGGCCCCGGTCACATGGCAAAGTTGCCGTGGGAGAGGCACAGGAGTCCCGTGGATTTTCCGGGCGCAATCACCCCAACATCGGGGAAGCGCAGTGTTCCCGTGGCAAACCCGTGGCTCCCTGTCGAAGGTGCGGAGTTAAAAACTAGTACCTACGAGGTACTAGTTTCCTGAAACCGTGGGCCAAGGGCAGGCATCTGATCGCGTTCCCGGTGGACTTACGTGGCATCCGGCGCCCGCCACTGTTAGTCTCCACAGGTTGTGCAACAGCGACCAACAGCGCATGCACACAAAGAGCTATGGCCAGTGCGATTGCGCAGCATGGCTTCTGTGCCGCGCTGCAGGATACCCGTCTGATCAGCATTTCCCCTGAACCATGGGACCTCGACCAGGACGTGTGCTCGGACAGCCATGCGTTAGTTTCCTCCGGGGCATTTAGCCACGCCTCCCCCCCGTGATATCCGGCCCGTGTGACCGGGGCCATTCATGATCTTCTGTCACTTACTTTTATCTATTGTGCTCTCTAGTATAACTCGAGTGTTGTGGAGAGATGTCACCGCCATAGGATTATGAGACATACAGATCAATAACAAAGATAAAGAGAAAAGAGCCAAAACCAATAGAATGAACCATGACATTTCTGAAACTTTGTTCTTTATAAAAGAGTTACAGCTGATATGAAAAAGGCAGCAAGGTCTTACCTGAAGTTTTTCAATCATGGGAGAGCTTTTTACCTTTACCTTTGTAGGATGAGAAGTATTTGGAGAAGGCTTCTGTAGAAAGAGAAATAAGAAACAGCTGAAACAGATGACTGACTACACAGTAGGGCTGGGGGCAGGAAGGAAAGCTGATGAAGGTATTGTCTTCAGTGTTCCCTCTAAGCTGAGTTAGTGTGAGCTAGCTCACAGTTTTTTAGCCTCCGGCTCACACATTTTTGTCTTAACTCGGGAAGGAAGTCTCCAGAGCAAACTAATTTATGCAGTAGCCAAATTGCTTGCTCACAACTTTAATGCCAGTAGCTCACAAAGTAGAATTTTGCTCACAAGACTCCACAGCTTAGAGGGAGCACTGATTGTCTTCTCCTATACATTCTTGCTTATTCCACGTTCCTGCCTGGGAATTAAGCCCTCCTGACTATCCCACCAATCAAAGAAGCTCATCTGGTGGGCCTTTTCAGTGGCAGCCCCACAATTACGGAACAGCCTCCCCAGAGAGATGCACCTGGCCCCCCCTCACTGTTGTTCTTCAGGAGGTAAGTTGAAGAGAGTTTTATTAGGACTGCATTTGACTTAGTTTTAATTTATTAGCAGTCCTAACTGGAGTTTTAGAATTGTGACCTTTTTATAATTGCTGTTTTATTCATATTGTTCTTATTGTTTTATAACATAATCATTTTATTTTTATCATAAGCTGCCTTGAGTACTGCAAGGGAGAAAGGTGGTTGATAAATGTTTTTTTTTTAAAAAAAAATAAGTAAATAAATAAAATAAGAATGAATAAGCTGATAATCTTTACAACATTCTTTTTAAAAAATACTTTTTATTGCTTTTCTTCCTACACACTACAAAGACTATACCCTACAAAACTAAAACTACAAAGAGAGTAACAAGAACCTTTGATGCTTTAAGTATATGTCTATATGCTAAAAATTTCATTCAGTTCTTTAATATCTAATAAAAGTGTTCAAAAAGAAAGAACATAAAGGCATTTTTGATATTACATCACATCTGGTTGAGAATATAAGTAAGTTAAATGTCAACATAGGTAATCTCAGACCTTCACTTAGATTTCTTCTTAGCTTTGATTTTCTTCTTCTTTTGACAGGGGAGATTTACTTTAAAAGTTTTAGGGGCCGCAGCTCCTAAATCAGAGTCAGAGTCAAAGATTTCACCCAAAGACACGGAAGTAGTTGTAGAAGATGAACTATCAGTATCGGAATTTCTGTTGTTCGCTGGTTTTTTCCATTGCCTTTTCTTCCTCTGCTCCATTTCTTTGTTTGGTTGAAGATTGTTGCTGTTTAAGAAAAAGTTTGGCTTTTAATAGAGAGTCAATCTTTTCCTTCTTCTCCTTAAAGTTGAATATAAGTACTTCTGGAAAAATCCATCTGTATTGGATATTGTTCTTTTGGAGGAATGCTGTAATATTTCTGTACTGCTTCCTTTTCTTGTGTATTTCAAATGGGACATCTTTCAATATTTTTATCTCCTCTTCTTGAATTTTAACTGTTGTAGCTGTAGGTGCTTAAAGTCTCTTATTGATCTTTTTGCAAATTTTACAAAAATTTCCCCTGGGAGATTATTTCCCCCCATAAACTCTGAATAAATTCTGTAAATCATATCAATATCTGCTTGTATCAATTCAGGTTTGTTGTTGATTAAGGGGGCCATTGCTTCACTTATAATTTCTCTTAGGTTCTCATCTTTTTTCTCTGGAACCCCTTGGAATCTGAAGACAAAAGAGGATCTTTCCATTTGTAGCTGTAAAAGTTGTTGCTTTTTAGAAGTTGTTTCTTTTCCCACTTTATCCATTCTTTGGTCTATTTCTTTGGTCTTAATTTCAACCTTTTTTACCTTTTTGGCTGACTTCTCTGATTTGGCTGCAGTTTTCTTGAGCTCCTTCTGTAAAGTGTCGAATTTTTGGTTCGTAAGCTGGTCCAGCAGAGGGCGCATGGCTTCAGAAATTGCAGTAGCTAACTCGCTAGTATTTTCCAGTCCTGTGACTGGTGATGCTGTGCTGGCATTTCCTGTAGAGCCTCTGCCTCTGGACGCCATTTTACTCCCACGCTGAGACATTGTTTATACTTAGGTAAAAGTTTATAAAAGTTCTGAGATCTTTACTGTGTTGTAACTGCTTAACTCAGATGTATTCTGCTTTGAAAAGGGTGTTAATCGCCTGAATCCGGCTTGCTTCTACGCTGCAATTTCGCTAGTGGGTAGGGTTCTTTCTCCGCGAGTCCCCCCCATCTCTTTGAAGCTATGCTGTTTTGTTATGCAGATTTCTTCCTCCGCTTTAAAAAGGGTATTAATCACCTGAATCCAGCTTGCTTCTACGCTGCAATTTCGCTGGTGGGTAGGGTTCTTCCTCCGCAAGTCC